CAAACCTGTGAACCTTGTCTGCTTGTTTGCAGGAATTGTGGTTAGAATTTGGAGCAGCAGAGAATAATAGATCATTTCCTGGACAGGAGAAGTGTGAAAGAGAGTACAGATATTTTGGGGAGGAGCAGACAGAAAGGCTGACATTTTTGGAGTAACAAAAAGTGTCTTGCTAAGAATAGGTAAGGAGAGGAGCCACAATATCAAAGAGCCTTGAAGACCAGGATAAAAAGTTTGACCGTGAAATACTGGGAGCCGATCACATGGGAGGGGAGGGTGAGGTGCTCCAAGGAATAGGCACAAAAAAACCAAAAGATAAGCATAGCAGCTGCATTGCATATGGCTCCAAAGGGAGACAAAGTTGGGGGATGAGGAGGCCAAAGCAGAGAAGGCTGTGATAATTAAGATGATCTGGGCAACAGTTTTAGGGCTTCACCTATTTCTTCCTTTCTCTTCTTATTTCTCTGATTGCTTGCAAGCGTCCCTTTGCCCATACATTCTGTCAGGGGTTGGCAATGTTTTTGGGCAGAGTGCAAAAAATCTCCCACAACCTCAACTTGTAAGATGTTGTTGTGCCAAGGACGGATAGCAGGAAAGCCGCAAGGGGCCGGTGTTTTTTGTGGCAGCGCAGCTCTGGCCCCTTCCCCACTGTCTGAGCCAAACAAAATATCCTTGCATGCCACACTCTGGCACCCATGCCAGGGGTTGCCTACCCCTGCTCTGTGTTTTCCCAGTTTGAAATATGCACTTATCGGTGGCTTTCAACATGCTCATTTTCCGCTCCAAAACTCAACTATCTTTAATTGACACATATTGCTAACTTCCTGCTTTCAGGCCCTTTTTCTCCCTTTTCACACTGCTAGATTCTGTTTAGGAATGTTCTTCTCTTAATTCCCTTCTCTGCTTCTTCCTTTATACATACCTATCATGCTTCCTTTTTTTTCTTAAACCAGGCCTTCATCCACTGCAGTCTTTGCACATGCATACAATTTATCTGACCATCACAATACACAGGGATCACCTTCCTTTTCCACAGAAGTTTTGAAAATGCAATTGGCCAGGTTCAGGAAAGCATTCCTCTTTCAGGACAGTACTCATTCATCCACCTAAGTGCTGCTCTGACTGAGCCTCATTCTTCATGTACCAGAAAAGCCGAAGAAGTAACATGGGATCAGGTCCTACTGTTTTCAGCTCATCATTTACCTTTTTTCTATCCCACCACCAATCTGTCACCCGCTATAACATGAGTAGCTGGCAACTTCAGCACACAGTATTCTTAATTCTAATGGAGATTTAACCTCTGTGACTTTGGTTTCATCATAAAATTTCAAACCCACAGCGTCCAAAAGAATGAGGTTTTTTGCATAATGCATTCCTGCCATATCTAGTAGAATGTTTTTTGCATATGATATTTAGGATTATTAAACACAAGTGAAATAGATTAAGAAATGAATGTAAAAGAATCAATTCTTTTGAACTGTGGTTGCATAATGGAAATCGACTACTATGAATGAACTTATGTTCAGAAGTTATGAACAGCAGAGCTAATGCACTGCCATGAGTTCATCTTTATTATTGCATTACACCTGAATCAATTGATAAAGTAGCTTTTTTTTAAAGCTAGGAATGGCACTTAATTGAATAAAAGTCAATGTAATTATATTAGGAGAATCCAACAGTACTGCTGACAGTGGAAAAGGGACACTGCTGAACAGAGTGCCAGAACTTGTCCACACATTTCTGCGCATCGTTTGCCTGACAGATATTAAGGGCTAGTACACAGTTTAATTAGATTACTGACTGCCACTGCCGTAAGTGAGAATTGAAGCAGGGAGACATCTCTCCTTATCACAACATCAGCAGGCTTGTGTCTTTTCGCAGGTCATGTGCAGGAAGGCATCCTTCCATTTGGAGACTTAGTGCATCCTTTTTAACCATGTTAATTTATTCTTATCTCTTCATTCAATGATTTTGAAGTTATTTTCACTACACATCTGGCTGCTGTTTTCTCAGCAGCAAATCAAGGAAATAGTAAGTGCAGATGTGTGAGAAACAACAGACAGCTACAGTTAACCCAACTACTTTTACACTGCAGCAAATTCCCATATTCTTTTGAGTGTGAAATCAAGGGGGAGGGGAAGGGGGAAGAATGGTAAGAAGTCAAAACACAAGAACACTTCATTAAGTGAAGTAGCTGGCAGTTAGTGTTATGCTGATAAGCAAAACCATGCTTTTAAACTCATGCAATAACTCTTATAGCTACTTGTCAGCTTATACAGGTTTTGACAGTAAGCATTTCCTGTACCAGGCATAGCAACTTCCACTTGGAGTCTTATGCCATCTGACACCAGGAAGGCAAGGAACAACAGTGTAGAAGTAAGGACTATAGGGACTACTTCTGTTTATCATTCATGTATGTGTACACTGCATGCATCTGTTTAGAACTCATTTGTTGATGATGATGATGCCGTGAATGTGCTTTGTCTAATTTGATTTATGCTTTTCGGTTGTGTGGTTGCTTCAATATCCATCAGCATAGCAGTGTAAGTGAGATGATGGCTGACTGAAAATGATCTCATGATCAAGACTTTTTTTAATCTGTATTTTGTTGTTTTAAGATTTCTTTTGTTTTTTAACCAGATATGTCTGGATTGGAATGTGAATTTGTTCTCTCTCTCTTTTCTCTCTTTCTTTCTCTCTCTCTCTCTCTCTCTCTCTCTTTGTGATCTCGATTTAGCAAAAGATTAGAAAGTTGATCTTATCACAAGGTAAGCTCAGCCTTCATAAGTGCAGTATGGGGATGTGTATAATATGCCTCTGTGCCTACCAAAAGCAGCAGTGCTATTCTTGCTTCTGTGGAAAGAGTGTTTCCCATGTGGGAATAGAACAATAAATGCTCTCCACTTTTCTCTGCCCTTGGACATACCTCTCAACTGTCTCTCATTATGAGAAAAATCCTCCATTTTGAACCCAAATTTACCTGAATCCAGTGCAGATTTGGTCAGACAAAAATGAAGTGCAGTCTCAGTTTTATACCCAGTCCATCCCCATTTTGGGAGCAGTAACCTACACTTGCAGACAAATGAATGCTCATTTCCATCTCAAACTTTTCATGTTTATCGCTATATATCATGTACAACAGACATGATTAATGTTGAAATACGTGAAAGAAGATTACAGAAATTAACCCAACATCATGTTTATCTTTCTACATTTCCATTTGACTCACATTGTGTCACTGCACCATATTTATGTCTTCAGCTGGTTGAGAGGTGTGCTCTTGAGAGATTTCTAAAAACAAAAGCTTCCAATTCAGAAATGCTGCCAGTATCTGATCCAGTTTTTCTTTTTTTTCTTTTAATGTTACTGTCGCTCCACAGTGTAGAGAGAACTTTGGGTCATTATTATGTGCCCTGGCACCCAGTCTTTTACCCACTACTTCTTATCTTTTTGTGAATCAGATTATTTTTTTATTAAAATTCCCCCACACACACGTTTTGGTCTCTGATGTGCAATTTGTAATGGGTAAGAAGAGCCCTCAGGTCATAAATTGCAAGTTCTGGCCCTGAGTTTGCAAAATAAAAATGTGAGGCAGTAGAACGTCACTAATTCTTATGTCATTGATTTGACATCCAGTTGTTTTCATCCTGCATCTTAGCAGTTACTTAAAATCAAAGTGGTATACCTGAAGGTTTATAGCATCTAAAACTTCATTTCCAGTATCACGATTAAAATTAACATTACCAAAATAGCATATTCTGTAATGAATCCTCCCTGATATTTATCAAGTGTGTTGGTTTGCTCATTAATTCAGAAAATTCAGTTATTCTAGGAGGATTTTTCTGTCATTCATGCTAATTGGTGAGGTTCTACTGCACTTAAAATGTATCAGATCAGTAAAAGGCTAATATAAAAAGTGGAGAATAAAAAGAATTTAAAACAGTAGGCTATATTGCACAGCTACTAAGTTGAGGCCTTGTTTCATTGCACATATCCCTGCTATATGATGACAAAGGCTCTAATCCTGCCAAGCACTTAAGAATATGCTTACCTTTCAGCTTTTTGGGCCTGATCTGAAGTCCACTGAAATCTGGGAAAGCCTCTACTGTCCCACTGACTTTTAACATATGGTTAAAGCTAAGCATGTGCTTAAGTGTTTGGGGCTAAAGCCTACATTGCTTTTACGGAAGTTCTATTGTGTGTCGCCACCCCGCCTCCACAAAAACCCCCTCCCAAAAAACTGCAGTAATCCCAGCAGTAAGCATTACAACCTGGGGAACAAATCCAGCAGGAGAAGGAAACAGGTGACTTTGGGTAAGATTTTTAACAACATCTAAATGACTTTTAGAGGGACTTGTTCCTAATCCCCATCAAGTCTTTTCCATCATGTCTGGGCCTGATTCTGAATGCCCTTGCATTCCACTGATTTGTAATTTGCACAGGTATTAGAGAGATCAGAATCAGGACCTGTGACTGTGACCCGCCCACTTGTCTTGTTCTTGTTCTCCTCCTGCACTGTATTATTACTATTATTACTTCTATTACTACTACTATTACTACTTTTTTCGTAAAATGGGACTGTTGAACAGGAAAACAGTAATTCAAGAAACAAGAAAAGCATGTAACATTTATATTAACCTGGTGTGTGTTCTAAATTTCAAGTGTAAGGACTGCAGCTAGTGCTGAGGCCAATGGTGAAAAGGAAGTGATATGGGGCCTTTGTGCGTGTCTCTTTTGTCTGCGGGGTTGGGCTTTGCAGGGGGAGGGATTGTTTGTTTTTGCTTTTGTTTTTTGTTCATTTTGTTTTATATTGGTCATTTTCATGCAAATTCTTCCATTATAAGACTGATGAAATTTTCAAGAAACAGGGGGCTGCGAAGCTTCCCATTATGAATTATTGCTAAATCATAAGTGTATGCTTTGTTGGGTGCTTGGCAACTGTACACTTAATCACAAATACTGTACATTTTTTTCCTTTCTTCCCTTCCCTCTTCCTTTCCCAGACACAGTGCTAACATAAACCTGCACCGTAAACTGTTGACCAAAGAACTGGATGACATGGGACTGGACACTTCTCAGCCCTCTCTTAGTAAGGACCTCCGTGATGAATTTTTGGTGAAGATATATGGTGCCCAGCATCAGATGGGTCTTGACATAAGGGAAGACACATCCTCGCCAGCTGGTACTGAGGATTCCCACATGAATGGGTATGGAAGGGGCATGTCTGAAGACTATATGGTCCTAGACCTGAGCACCACTTCCAGCATCCAGTCTAGCAGCAGTATCCATTCCTCAAGAGAATCTGATGCAGGAAGCGACGAGGGGATTCTCCTAGATGATGTTGATGGAGCAAGTGACAGTGGGGAATCTGCCCACAAAGCGGACAACCCTACCTTAGCTGTAGGTATGGGTGCTGATGTTCCAGGATCCCTCATGTTCAACAGCGTTTCAGTGAGCAACGGTGGGATAATGTGTAACATTTGCCACAAAATGTACAGCAACAAAGGGACTCTTAGGGTGCACTATAAAACAGTGCACTTACGAGAAATGCACAAGTGCAAAGTCCCTGGGTGCAACATGATGTTCTCCTCTGTCCGCAGCCGAAATCGGCACAGTCAGAACCCTAATCTGCATAAAAACATTCCGTTTGCTTCAGTAGATTAGTTCCAACGTGGACACGGCAAATGCCAGCTCTCACGGAGGGCCAATCACATTTGAACTGCCATATACAGTCTATATATATATATATATATATATATATATATATAGACTGTATATGGCAGTTCAAATGTGATTGGCCCTCCGTGAGAGCTGGCATTTGCCGTGTCCACGTTGGAACTAATCTACTGAAGCAAACGGAATGTTTTTATGCAGATTAGGGTTCTGACTGTGCCGATTTCGGCTGCGGACAGAGGAGAACATCATGTTGCACCCAGGGACTTTGCACTTGTGCATTTCTCGTAAGTGCACTGTTTTATAGTGCACCCTAAGAGTCCCTTTGTTGCTGTACATTTTGTGGCAAATGTTACACATTATCCCACCGTTGCTCACTGAAACG